GGTATCTCGTCAGCTCAATTCCATCCACAAGTCGCGTGTGCGCATTCGCGCAAGGCTGTCTCCCCAGTTTACTTACGGTGGCGCAGGATGAGGTTCCGGTTCCGGTTTACTTGGTGGTCTCGATGTCGCGTCGGTAGGTTGAGATTCTTGTCGTGAAAGTTCAGGTCTAGAAATAAGGAGGGAAAGTTAGGAATTGGACCGACAAAAGATACGAGATGGTTGCACAAACTACCTAGGTAAGATTGGGCATACGTACGACAGGGATGACGTAGGTGGGTGCGGCTGGAATGGCGGATCGGCAGGGTCTGGTACCTGGAAGTGGGGCGCAGGTGCTTTACCGGATTGGGCGAGGATGATGATTCTGGGTTGGAAATGGTTAATGGGGGTGATGTTGGTTTGGTGGTAGTCGTCTGAAGATGGTTGAGTTTGAGATGGAAGGGGTGAGAACTTACGGTGGTGCAGCTGGTGGTTCTGGGTCGTTTCCACCATCCTTCATCTCTTCAGAAGTTGAGTATGGCCCTCGGTGTGACATTTGACTTGAGTACTGAGACTGTTGAATGAAGTGCCAGGCAACTCTGTATACTTCGAATAAAAGCTTGTGTGCCTCTATGACAGAGACTGCGTGTATAACGGCGATGGAGGACTGCTCGATGTTGTTGATAGTACAAGATTGGGCTTGAAGGGAAGTCATAGCAAGAGCTGGCGAGAAGGAGATATCCATCATGTTCATTGAGTTGATGGCCCTAACCGTGCCTCATCCCGACTCTTATATATGATATGAGGCCTCTCATCTCAGCACGAGCATGAGCGCATTTCCAACGATCTCCCTCCGACTCACAGCCGGAGTCATGGCTGTCGCAGCACTCTACTCTTTCGATCTCGCCCCATCTTCCATCTAGTGCTCATCTAACGAGTAGGAATGGTCGTTTCCACGTTGAAGAACGCGCTAGAGCAACGTTGAAAGCTCGGCCAGAACGTGTAGGGTCGGATATAGGGCTAAGTTTGGTAGCCGTGACCCGCTTGACAGCCTGTATAGGAAGTATCATTGGATCGACCCGGTTTTAGTCAGAGGGAAGCCTGAGAGGAGGCTCAAGTTAAGCTTTCTGGCATGTGTCTCAGAGGTGACCCGTTTCGGTGTCTAAGTGCGAGGCAGTTCGGTCAACCGAGTCGGCGACTCGGAAGACTGAATTAGGTGCATCAGGCGAGCCATTGCCTTTAGTCGGGTATAGATGCATTCTTCACCTTCAACCAAGCGGATCGCGTCGCGGGCGATGCTGGAGTGATGTGGCTGTGCGTGGGATATGGGCATCGTGTAATTTAGCTAGGGCGGTTAGAACTTCCGTTCGTGGGAGGCCTGGTAGGCCGAGCAGGAGGCTTACTCTGGATCGCCACCATGGCGGTGTTGTGCATGATAAGGCCCTCAATCATCTGCGATGAAGAGGGAGAGAGAAAGAGGAAATTGCGACATTAGTGACGGGATTGGGGACGTGGAGATGTTTGGCCGTTCGCGCATGGCGCATGGTGCCCCGCTTCAGCCCTGGAGGTCCACAACACCGGGCTGGTTCCTGGCCGTGGCCGCCACGGCCGCCCACCCAATTCCCGCCGCTACTCTGCAAACCCACCAACAACTGCATCATCATCCTCATTCTCAGCACACTCGTGACGCTAGCTCTCTCATCATCTCTCTTGACTAATTGCCTTTTTGCCGCGACGTTCAATGCCGCGCACTTCCTATTGCTCACACGTCTCTGCCACGGCGGGTTCCGACATCCATCTCTCTGGGAACACCAACGCCCAGATCGACCACAATGCCAGGGATCATGGGCTTATCTCAGCCATAAATAGAGAGCTTCGCGAAACTCCAGGATTGGTCTCAGGACCAGACTTGTGACTCGTATCACAATCATGTCTGCCTCGCCCTAAGGTGAACGGTCGTTGGGGGCCAATGGCAGTGCACGCGGAGCCGAGTTCCAGGACCACCACCAAGCCTCGAGCAGCCTCGTCTGTGTTACTGCTTATATAATGCACGGCGAACCGACTGTGACGTCTTGACTGGTTAGGAACCCAGCAGATAAATTATTTCCAAAGATTCCAGACCATTGACATGAGGGCCGATCGATCCTAGCTCCGACCGGTCAGGTCTCACATTAGCACACCATTTTTACCGCGCATGCATTTCCTGTCACGGGAGCGTCACGCCCTTCGCGCTTATATATCAGCTCTGACATCTCGAGCGCAATATGTAAGTATGGCGGGAGTAGAAAAACGTCCGTACGAGCATACGCAACAGTATGCGATAACATTACCAATACCAAGGCAAATATGACTCCAAACACCAGGGAAGGTCGAGATTCCAAACACTAGTCCATTCTCAGTAGTCCATCAGGCCAAGAAGCTGACAGAAGCACCATCAAGGCGATGTAGACGCGCTACGTCCGATGATCCAGTCTTGTTTCTCGAAACCATCCCGACAGAAACGCCCTCACATCTCAACGCCGAAAGCTAATCAGCCTGCGACTTCTCAACCACCACGCCTATCCCCCGCAAACCAGTACCCTAGAAACAAAGCGGAACTCCAGAATTACAAGTACACCCGGTCGGACAATTAAACCCAGGCACCGTAGTTTCCGGCTGCGGCGGCTGTGTCGGCTTCGATGGGTTCGTCGGCGGCTCAGGAGCCGACTCATCAGGTCTATAATTCTTCTTGAGCGCCTCGACAATCAGATCGCCAATCTCCTTGTGTCCATCCTGTTTCGGATGCAACGTCCGCGCTATATACCCATTGAAATTCCCGCTCCCACTCCCACCGTTTAGGGGCTGCGGCTCAATTTTCACCTCCATGCTCAGGTTTGGTTCCTCGGGGTTGCGGAAGGTGGTTATCGTGTATTCATCTTGTTGCACGGATTCGCCGTCGGGGTATCTGCCTAGCTTCTCAAGGATATCCTCGGGTGGGCTGGGGGCGTCTGGGTCGTCGCTGGGCTCGTATGTGGTAACGCTGTCGCCGTCGTGGATGGTGATACTCCGCCGGATGGGGTTGTTAAAGATATGCACCTCGGTGCTGTTAGGGTCGAGCTGCACCCTCAAGCTGTGGCCTTTTTCGCAGAAGCGGTGGCCTTCCAGGGCGGGGTTGATGTCGATGTATCGAATTTTCGGGTCGTTGTAATGTTCGACGGCGGAGCGGATCGCGAGATTCACCGCGTCGACCTAAGCGGGTAAGAGGTGTTAGTGTGTGATATGGAAGTGCCATGGGAGTAGAGTTTACCAGATCATTAAACTCTTGTCGCATTTCTTTTACGACCTTCTGTGCATTCCATGGGAATTGGAACTGTCTGCCAAAATCCCAGTCGTTGCACGCGTCGTCAAAAGCGAAAAAGCGCGCATATCCTAGCATGAAGAGTGTTGCATCGTTGCCGCTGACAGCAGGGTGGGCCCTCCAGATATCGATAGTATCTATAACGGCCTGCTTGAGGCCGTCTCCGACTCTTCCTCGTACTAGCTTGATCTCCTTCCTGCACAATCCCGTCGGTTTGTCAGCATCGTCGTCTTCGTAATGAGTCCCATAGTCTACTCTCGGGTCGGTATGGAAGAGGCAGCTGTCGGCCATGGGGTAGAAATCGGCATTATTCCCGCCGGCTTCAAGCATGGTCATCTTCGGTCGTGTCAACTTGTCCATTTGGTCGTGGATATTCTTTCCCAAATGGGCGCCAGAACAGGCTCTGAACTCGAATTTGGGATCTTGATCGGGGGTTGGTGTCCAGTCCTGGTATCTGTCGTTGACTATGGTTGACCAGGCATACTTGAAGCGCATGCATCCGTCTTCGTTTCCGTCGTACGCGGTGTCGTTGTCCCATTGAACTCCACTCTGTTGTATTTTAGTCAATGTGTAGCGATTGAGTGAGTTTACGTACTCCCCAAGAATCCCCGATGGCGGAAAAGATGAACTCATTGTCTCTGGTGTTCAAGATGTTGTTGAGGGATATACCCTTGGGATAGCCCGACACTGACTGTGCCAGAAGTATTGGCCCAAGAGCGAAAGCATGTCGAAGCGCGAACATGGTGTTTCGTTTATTCAAAGTCTAGCTGGTTAGCTATTTGGGGAGAGAAGAAGACGAGAGATGGACTTGGTCTGGTGTCTACTTTCCTCACTTCCGTTACCATCTTCTTATACCTTTGTTCATGGGCGGGGCTTTTCTGAGCCTGCTGTCAGCAGTGAGCATGTATGAGACGATCCGAGCAGGCTTTCGATCCCCAACCCCGTCTTCACGAAGTGTTTCAGTGGCACAGAGCTGACATCAGACATATTCACGTCGGTTGTGTATACTTGCCACCTGTGTCATCAATTGGGCGTACTTTTTGGGGTCTAAAGACGTCCGTTCACGAATGTTTCAATGCTCGGTTAGGATATTTCCATCACTGTACAAGTTATGCTGGCCCAAACCCCTACGACTTGTCAAACAAACCAACTCCCAGTGAGGACGAGCTGCTGATCCGATTCGACATCACCCCAGAAGCCAAGATGGATGTCCGTCTGAACGCCACCATCAACAGCCTTGTGCGCAGTTACGCTGCATGGGGCCAACAAACGCCCGGCGCTTCGGTTGAACCATCTTGAAACCTGGGGTCGACAAACGCCTCGCTTGATAGTCAGAAACGTAAGCAGCAAGGCGAAGAAGCGACAGGGCGGTAGCAGTATTGATTAGAACTACCTCAGTCATGAGGCAGACAGTCGATCCTGCGTGAGGCTGTGGAGACGCACCAAAATATCTACTGAGTAGGCCTGACCCCAATGCGAAACCTTCATGTCAGTTCTGGCGATCGGGCTGGAGGCTCAGAGCTCAGCGAGGTTTATGGCGCGGAGTTGTTTGGTCTTGCGAAACATATATAGCAGTCTGTTGGAATCACCCATGGCTGTTGATCGACAGCAATAACACATGATTGATTTATCGATAGAAGGTCATGCGCACTCGCAATGATAACAGTATAACGACCAAATATACTACTCACTCATCTGTGTCCCAAATACCCAGTGTGACATCCATGATCCCCCTCAATTCAACATGCGCATCCATCCGACTTCCCGCGCCTCTCCCTCTGACAGCCTTCACAAACCCCTCACCTTCCTCTATCTCATCCAGCGCACTGCCCCCAAATTTGATCGAGCCTTTCTTCACAGTCGCATCCATTTTCCCAAACCAACTGAACGGGTACCGCAGGTACAAATCACCAGTGCCGACGTAGTGGTCACTCTTCGTACTGAGAAGGGGATCGTAAAGCTCATCCAAGAGCTCTCGGCCTGCATTATCCAGATGCAAAGCTGTGTTACCATACAATGTAGTCGTTCTAATCGTGCTTTCATCATCCGGACTCACGGCAGCAAATGGTCGTAGATATGCGTTTACGTTGCCTTCGATACTCGCGAGAGTAGTGTACGAGCCATGTGGTATCTCCACGACTACATTGCCGTAAGCCGAGTGAATTTCCGTGTAATGTGTAAAAGGCTGCTGTGGCCAATATTCCCAGAGCGCAGCGACGTTGATGTCTCCGCTGTCTGTATACACCACGATTTCTTCAGGTCGCATCGGTTTTCCAATGAACGTATACCGCGGTACCAGCATCAGATCAATCTGCCCGCTTTTGCTGTGTATTTTTAATTTACCTTCGCAGCCGTACCAGCCCCAAATGACTCCGATTATTGAGCTGGAATCGATGTTGTGTGGATGCAACGGGTCCGGGCCTTTGCCGCCTTCGTATGTGTACTCGCCGTGCGCAGTATGTGTGATGAGGTTGTTGATCTGCCAGGCCCAGTCGTGGACCCATAGATCGAATGTCTCGGACCTGATCTCGAGCACATCCAATAGACGCACGGATGATTCCGGACGGAAGTATATCATAACTTTGATCTCTGTACAAACGTCTCCGTCATGGTCGGGGGGAAGGTAGTCTAAACTGAGGCTCGTTGCAGATTGATTGTAGATGACGTTCTGGTAGTCTGTCGTTGAGCTGGAATTTATTTCGAGTCTGACTTCAAGGTCTGAGGTCTGGTCGACGTCGCCTCTCTGGACGTGAATTATACCAGAGAGACGACCGGTGGAATTGGATGAGTCGAATAGACGCCAATGGGTTTCAGGTCCGTCGCTGTTCGAGATGTTGAAGCCGAATGTGCGCGCTTCAGAAGAAACAATCGATTCACATCTGGCGTAGTTGATGGTGGCCGGTGTGGTGTCGTATAAAGATCGGTCAGAAGTCGTCGTGTGGCTGGGAGGGCACGCATTCCAATACAGCAATACTATCGCGAATACGAGCAGCCCTAGTTGCGGTACTCTCCACAGTGGACGCTGTCGAATTAAGGGACCTGATCCCTCTTCGGGAGCCTACATTCTCATTAGAATTGATGAAGCGAACATCTAGGGCAACAATACTGACCATCCGTACTTCACGCCCGCTCGAACCCGCCTTCGTTGGCATCTCTTCCATGATTGCGTTCTGCTGTGGATTATTCAGAGTGAGGTAGTAAAGGAAGAAAAAGAATCAAACGAAGAGACCCGCAGACGGCAAGCACAACCAGAAAGGCAGCAGCCGCGATGCCATGCTGACTGTGAAGACGCCCGGTGCCGCGCCGCACTCGGTTTCAGATTTCTGCGACGCGCCACAACGCATACCCCGGCCTGAGGCGGACTGCACGCCTCTAGTCAGCACTCTGAATAGCTCATCTGTATATTTCAAAGAGGGCTCTGCGCCCGAGATACGTATGGTGATCATGTGCGAGCGGCTTCCTTCGCGCTTCCGTTCCGCCCCCACATGCTAGCATTAGCAAGGCGAACACATGACGTCACAACAGCACGATGTACAACGGTCATCACGATCAAACTTGAATAGAAGTTCATGAATGCTTCATCTTGAAGACTTTTTCCTTAGTGAGGCTCTACCTAGTCGTGCTATTCGGTAAGAAAACTGCCAGCACTCGGCTGCCCACAGGCTTGCTCAAAAACACAGATGCCAACTCCGACGCCGACGCCAGAGAAGTATGCACCAAAGCTCATGAGAGTTCGTCAATCGTTTCCTCGCTCACGTTGTTGAGCTTTTCACCACTCAGGACGAGGTCGTGGCAACATGAGGTAGCCTTGACCATCGTGAGTGAGTGGGCAAGGGACAAGAGGGCAATTGCCGTTCTTGTACTTCAATGAGCACATGAAGCGCAGGCACTCGGTGTTGTTCTCCATGCAGGGGCGACACTTGGTACCGCTGTCGCATCGCCGGTCCATGGCGTAACACTCCGTGCATGATACGACGGTCTCAGGGAGCTTGACATTGCGCGGCGGGACGACATGGATGGCACCACGGAGACGCTCGCCGTTGTTACTGAGGTCCATGATGCGGGCATCCTTGAACTTGAGTTCGTCCTTGGCGTCCTTGAGCTGAGCTCGCTGGCGATCGGAAAGAGTGGTCATTTCACGAAGCTTGCCCTTGATGTCCTCGATGGCGCCGCGGTTTCCACGTTGCTCTTGGGCGTCGGTCAGCTCGAACTTCCGGACGACAAGCTCTTGTCGCAGATCAGCTATGGTCTTCTCGCGTGCAGTCGCAGCGTCAGCAAGGTGTTGATTCTGCGAGAGGTAATAGTCGATCATCCGCTGATGGTCGGCTGCCTTCTGTTGCTCCTTGATGATGAGATTCTTGTCCTCCTCGATGGCTGCCTCGGCGGTCTCGATCTCGCGGTTGCGATCTTCAAGGGTTCGCCTGAGTGCTGCCAACTCGGCATCTCTAGCGGCCAACTTGATGTCTATAGCGGCCAACTCGGCATCCTTAGCAGCCATCTTGGCGCCATGTAGACCGACCCTGTCATCTAGGACGAGTTAGCTTAGGCCCTCTTGATACAGTATGGTGTTCGAACTTACTTCCGGGGTTTGCCTTGTTGATCAACGCATTGCGAGCACCTAACTGTCGATGATTCTTCTTGATCTCAGCAACATGTTTCGCGATCACAACTTCTTTCCTTACCAGCTGAGCGTCCTTGGCCTTGATATCAGCGCCCTGCTTCTTCATTCCGAGATCTTGCTTCTTGATCATGGCGTCCTTCTCAGACATAGCGCGAGACATTGCGGCATTCTGGTTCTCGGTGGACTCGAGCTGGTATCCGAGAAGTCCTAGCTTCCTATCGGCCTCAGCGTTCTCGCGCTCCAGCCTGGCGAGGGTTTCCTGAGCGGCTGCCAACCTGTCCTCTAGCACGGTCACCTGCTCCTGCTCAGTCATCCACACCATCGTTGGTTGGTCGGATCCGAAATCATGAACGGCATCCACAACGGAGTCTGCTGGAGTCGGGGGTGTATCAGATGCAGCAGGCACGGATAACTCGATTTGAGGGACGGGGACGGGTGGCGACCAGGAGCTGTGATCAGAACGATGATCGGACTCGCTGTCGATGGCCTTGTTGTAGTCATTGATAGTATCAATCATACTCCTGAACTCCATTCTGTTCTCAGGGATATACTCGGGGATCGGCTGATCAGACCTAAGGGCGGAGGTCAAGGGCTCTTGCTGCTCTTGCAGGAAAGACGCCACAGACTCCGGGGCCCTGTACGGCTGAGCCAACGGGGAGAACATCTCCGAACTTGAAGAGAGACGTGTCGCAAAGCGAGGGACTAGGTGTGGTCAGTCAGTCATGCAGTAATGCAAATATGGATCTGGTCACTCACCGTTGGACACGGTTGGCAGCGACACCGGGCGCGGAGCTGGTGAAGGGACTGGTGTGGAAGACTGCCTCTGTCTCATGAGGACATCGAGACCTGCGAAGTGGTTGCGGGGAGGCGACCTTGCGCGGTTCTCCGAGAGAGACATGCGGCCGACAAGACCGTTGGTACGGTGGATGCCGTTGATGCCAGTGGTATCCTGAGAGGAGGTGTCCTCGTCACTGAGGTCGATGAGGTTGCCCGACATGTTGCCAGTGGTCGGTGGTGGTAGTTGGGAATGGGAAAGGATGGGAAAAGACAGAAGAGCTGTCCGTTGTGGTGGAGGATTTTGTTTTGATTGTGGGGAGGTGAGGTGAGAGATAGCAGCCACAACAACGCCAAGCCAGAGACGAGCGCAACAGGCAGTCACCGTGACTTACACAACAACAACACGTTGCCGGGCCCGTGCACAAGATAGCAAACTGGACTCGAAAAACGGGAACGACAGAAGAACATGCGAGGTGACTGAGATCCCTACGTGAAGTGACCAAGGATTCTTACGACGACTATACGAGATGAATAGCCTTTCATACCCAAACTTACCCTCAAGTTACACGCGATTGCTACACATGTCACAGGCAGATAGCGAAGCATATACCTTTATGCCAGGGCTTCGTGTATGGAGGTCCTGTTTATCAAGAAAAAGACATGCGTGTCTGGTATGCTCTTTCTGGTCTGAAAGCGCGCAAGAGGCGATGACATCATCCTGATCCTGGATTGAAATGGTCGGCAGTCGCCCGCCGGACAACGACAAGTGACGGTGCGTGAAGATGTCTCACATTCATGTAGTCTCTAGGCGCACACGCAATAAGAACATCTCCTCGCCAAGGCGCACGCCTACAATGCTATCAAGCCGTCTCTTGTCAAATCAGCTCCTGTGTCGTTCTTGGCCTTATCTCACTGCATGTCCAATGATAAAAGGAACAGGGACAACGGGTGAAAAAGACTTGCTACACTTGACATGTGCAGTGGGAAAACTCAGAGCGCCATCGACTTCTTGCTGCATGATTGAGTCGCTACGCCGACGTCTCCAAGCAGATTCCGCTCCGAGCGGGGAAAAGGTCTTGATCATCGGCCGAAACGCTTCAGCTCCAAGGCCCGCAGAGGCGGATAGACAACTGCAGCCCATGCGAAACCGACATAATTGCCCATCTGTGAACGTTAGCATTGCACATCTCTGACTTCTGACATGCACGTACATCAGCTCCATAAGTTCCAACCTGCTTAGCAATCGGTCCAATGTACCAAACCTGGGCCATGCACATGATGGCCCCAATCCAACCGATCACGAAAGCGGTAAAAGCGGCGATGCCAAGCGGTAGCTTTTTCTTCTGGTCCCAGACTTGCCAGTTGAAACCGGTCTTGCGACGGAAGATCAAATGCTCCTCAAGCGTGATGGCAATCCAGACTGAGACCCAATAGCCCATAAGAGCAAGGAAGTTGGTGAAGATCTCGGCGAGATGGGCACGCCCTGCTAGTGCGCAGACTGTGTAGATGACTACGCCAACAGTGTTCCAGATGACTCTCGGTACAACACTTGCATAGCGGCCTAGGATCTGGGCGTCAATGCCGGAAGAGTAGGTTGGGACGATGAGGTTGGCGACGAGACCCAAGGCAACTACCACGCCGCAGAATGAACCGAAAGCGCCTAAAGGCTTGTATGCTTCGACTATCAGGGCGCCTTGTGATACTCCATATGCCGCTTCCCAGTCCGTGTTGGTTAGCATCCCGCATGCTAGGCCGATGCCCAGGACGAAGGCGAAGGTGAAACTGCACATCAGACCGAGCATGGTCATGCCGAAGATCTTGAACGATGATGCATGTTCGGGGTAGTAGACGAAGTAGTCTGCTGCTCCTCCGCCGTATGTGATGGCCGCAGCGAGTGTCAAACCGAAGAAGCTGATGCGATTCCCGATTATAGTATCTGGGTCTTCGTCGCCGTGAGACTCGGAGGAGATATTGAATTGCGGACCGGCAACTCCAGCTAGTATGCAGAGAACAATAAGCTGCGGTAGCCAGGCCCAGCGCTCGTAGTAATGGAAGATCTGGTAACCAAAGGTGGTGATGGCCCACGCAATGATGGCTACAATGATGATGCCGACCACGACGGACATGGAGTTGCCCGAAACAGCTGAGAGTATCTGTCCAGCGACTACACAGTCGATCATGCCGTAGCCGAGTAAGACGATGATGTTGAGCAGGACGACGACCTTAGACGGCCACCAGCCCGTGATGTATCGTGAGAAGATCATAGTCCAATTGCCGCTCTTCGGGCCAAAGGTTGCGATATATGCGACAACAAGGCAGCCAACGAATGCGCCAAAGACGGCCAGCATGCAGGAATCGAGAAAACCGAGTGCGAAGACGGCCGGACCGAGCATGCCTAGGGTAATGTTATTCGCCGCGAGGTTAACGCTAAACTACATAATAGCTACCTGAGAGTATCCAAGCAAGCGCAGGTCCTAACGCTCCTCTAGCTCAACACGCTTAATGCCGCGGGCCTCGAGGTTGTATGCGACAAGCTGCCTCTTAAACGCCTTCCACATCTCCTGCCATCTACTCTAGTGTCCCGCTCCTCTATTCTCGCTATCGTATGCGCTGACAGGGAGTCCGGTTTCGTTTCTCGTGTTCGGGGCAAATATCGACTTCTTTTCATCAGGCGGGTTCGTAATAGGGTCTATGACGGCGACCTAAAGCCATTAGTAGCAGCCTCGCGGCAAGGGAGCAAAGCATGAGTCCTTTCGCAGGCTTTAACCTGATTAAGTTCAGACCGTATATCTCAGATCGCTGCCAGCAAACATGCTAGCGAGCGAACACCGGTCTCATGCGTTCTGCTATCTAACGTTACCTTAATCGGGCATTCTGCTACTCAGCTGCATCCTGGCTGTGTTGCTGTACGTTTAAAGAGACAATAACGCGATAGTAGGGATGCGAAGCAATAATCAGGAGAAGAATTAAGTGTCAATAGAAGCTGCAAGAAACAGTAGTAACATTGCAAGCAAAAGGCAACGAGCGAACGATGACATAACCAAAAACCCCGCTATCGTGCCGTCCCGAAAACCTTGCGCCTTTCCCGTGTCTTAGACTGCTCGCGTAATAGGATGCGTTCAGACTCTTCAATATTTTTCAGTTAGACTCAACTTGTCGCGCGCATACCCGTGGGCGCGTCGAAATCGCGCGATGGTCGTGGAGGTGTGGGAGCAGACCTCTGTGGTCATAGCTTCCTTGGGTTCACGCGGTGTTCCTGCGGGTCAGCCTCGCCCAGCTAACATGGACGCGACACCGCAGTTCCATGACAGCATCATCTCGCATTCAACAACAACCTCCAACGAAAATAACGGCAAGAGCACTACGGTCACGCCGATGAGCACATGCCATCTATGGCGACGTCACCTCGCGCATGCAGCAGGTACACGCGGCGCTCTTATCATCTTCGGCGCCCGCCAGTAACCCCCGGTCTACATCGGCCTTCGTACTACCTTCCACACCATGCTTATTCGATCAAGCTGCATATCCGTTCTGCCCTTTTCTGCACTTAGCAGTCGTTCTACTACTATCCTACTTCCAGGTTTTCATGAGGTTATGCCCATATTAGGCAGGTCTAAGATCTGCGTTGCGACACATGAACACCGGATCACGAACCCATGAACCCATGCTTATCTGTGATAGGTAAGATGCGACTAACCGCTATTACTGTACCTCGATCACTACCGCCATCCCCGGCCATTGCCGTGCGACTAATGCGGGGGAAGGAACGTACGCCGAACTAAAGTGGATGATACCTTAGATATGCATTCAAGCATGCGTTCCTAGGTCAAGCTTTAAGTATCTGTCAATGTGCAGCAGACTGCAGCAAGCCTTGCATTCTTCACAACTATCTCTCGAAGTGTATTCATCATGAGGTTGGCGAATACGTTGTTGTTGACCACTGGTCTTGTACCACTGACATTCGCTGCGCCGGCAATGCATGGACGGGCCAACAACAGCACATGTAGGAAGACTACTGTCGCTATCATGTAAGTTTGATCTTCAATTACACAGATCAGAATTGACTAAGAGTTCATAGAGGTGGCGGGGTTGCCGGTATCACAGCAGCTGTAAGTCTACAATGAGACTCGTGTCAAGATGAACAGAACAAGGCAAAATTATTCTGATTCAATACACTTCGGAGGCTCAACGATTACATCTAAGCCAGCTGCTAATGGATCGTAGCAAGCGCTTGCCAATCAATCAGTTACCGACATCCTGATTCTCGAGTACCAAGATCACATCGGTGGCCGCATGCGGAATACGAAGTTCGGCTCCGACTCCAACGGCGATCCTTACACGGTCGAGCTAGGCGCAAACTGGATCTCTGGTCTTGGTGAAGACACCGTTGACGGTCCAGAAAACCCTGTCTGGACTTTCTCAAAACAAGTCAACCTCTCCAGCCCAAATTCTGACTCCTTCTCCGTCGGCACCTACAATGAGACAGGCGCTGTGGACTTCACGAACTTACTGGATGAGTTCGAAGAGTACTGGAGTGTCTTCGAGAAGACCGCTGGAACACTGCTTTCTGAGAACTTGCAGGACAGAAGCTTCCGTGCAGGTCTTTGGCAAAGCGGGTGGAGACCAAAGAGCGATCCGGCGCGCAAGGCCGTGGAGTACTATCTCTGGGATTGGGAGACGGCTCAGGTAGGTCATATGGAATGACCAATCGCGGGATGTGCTGACGCGCAAGCTTTTCAGACACCTGAGGAATCAAGCTTCGTCTACGGCATCACAGGGTACAATCTGACATACTACGGCTTCTCCGAGATCAGCAACTGTACGTATCTTTTTATACGAGTATGAGCAATGTACTAACATGCATCCGCGTAGTCTGCACCGACCAGCGCGGCTTCAACACCTGGCTCAAGCACGAAGCCTCCAAATTTCTCAAACCTTCCGACCCCCGCCTCCTCCTCAACACCATCGTAACAAACATAACCTACTCCGACACCGGCGTCCACATCCTCACTTCAGACAACTCCTGCATCGAAGCCGACTACGCCATCTCCACCGTCTCCCTCGGCGTCCTCCAAAACGACGCCATAACCTTCTCGCCCACGCTCCCGGACTGGAAGCAATCCGCCATCGCCACCTTCTCCTTCGGCACCTACACAAAACTCTTCTATCAATTCAACGAAACCTTTTGGCCAACCGACAAGCAATTCTTCCTCTACGCTGATCCTACAACACGTGGGTACTACACCGTCTGGCAGAGTCTATCCACAGAAGGGTATTTGCCCGGTTCCAATATCCTCTTCGCCACGCTTGTAGATGAACAATCGTACCGTGTAGAAGCGCAGGACGATGAAACTACGAAAGCGGAGGGAATGGCTGTCCTCCGTAAAATGTTTCCCAACATCACGGTTCCTGAACCTATTGCGTTTACCTACCCACGCTGGTCTGAGACACCCTGGTCCTACGGTTCCTACTCCAACTGGCCTGCTGGAACGACACTGGAAATGCACCAAAATCTTCGCGCAAATGTGGGCAGGCTGTATTTTGCGGGCGAGGCGATGAGTGCGGAGTACTTTGGTTTCTTGCACGGGGCGTGGTTCGAGGGGCAGGAGGTTGGTGAGCGCATTGCGGGTCGGATTACGACGGAGTGTGTTAATAGGGAGAGTGGGTGTGGGGATTATAATCGGTATGAGGTGTTGCGTGGGACGACGGAGTTGTGGGAGGTTAATGCGTTTAATGGGATGGGGACGAGTCCGTTTTTTGTGGCGGATACTGGGGAGGCGGAGTAGGAGGATTTGGGTCGTGGGTACGTCTCGATGTCGATGTGCAGATTGGAGAAAGTCTGTAACTCAGGAAGATGATATTTTTACGGCATCTTTCTCTTGCTCTTTCGACGTTTTCCGGTCTCCATCCCCCTCCTTCATCTCAATATCCACCCAAACAGGCACATGATCACTCGTCCCCATCTCCTCCTCACTATCCATGATCCCCACCGCCCGAACCCACCCCTTCTCCCACATCTTCCTCCCCGCAACGAAGAAATCCACCCTATCACAGCTACTCCCCCATCTCCTTCCTCTAGAATGATACGTATACCGTCTCTCATGCGGATACATCTCCCTCCACACATCAACGCCATCAAACGGCTCCTTCGCCTTGCCACCACCTCCCAGCAGCTTATCGTGGAAATCCGCACGATTCACTACATGTGCTTGCGGGAAGATGCGTAGTTTGGGATACCCGTCTCGCTCGTCAGGCGCGACGTTCATGTCGCCCGCGAGTAACACATCCCAGCCTTGCTCCTCCAACTCCCTACACTCCCTCGCTAAAAGCTTATGAAACGCGCGTTTCCGGTCATGTCTCGTTCCTCTAAACGCACCGGTCTGCGGATCGCGATACGCGTTTTCCGTTCCGTTAACGGCGTAGATGTTGAAGACGGCGAGTTTGGCTGTGCTGGTCTTCGAGCGGAGTTCTACGACGGAGATGCGGCCTTCGGCGTCCCAGTCTACGGTGCGGAGGGCGATTTTGTAGGGGATGTAGAGGTCGCGTCGGATTAGGCTGGCTACGCCGTAGATTTTGCCGCTGCGTTTGGGGCCGCGGGCGTTGTGGAGGTCGGTGGGGAGGGTGAAGTGGATGTGGTATAGTGGGCGCTTGTTATGGGGAGTTCCTTCTTCTTCTGGTAAGGGTGATTTTACTGCTTTTTTTACTGCGTCTTGGGTTTTTTCGTCGGTGTGGGCTATCTTGACTTCTTGGAGGAAGAGGATGGACGGCCATTGGTGTTTGTGCAGGAAACCTCTTAGGGAGGCTGCTGGTCGGGCGTTCTTTGCGTCGTCCCTAAGTGCCGTTCTGGATTTGGGGACGAAGAATTCCGTGATTGGCTTTTGTAGAAACGGAGCGATGCCATCGATGTTCCAAGAGAAGATGCGAAATGTGTTTGAGTCGAGAGGTGGAAGGGGCGTTGAAGATGCGGGCGTGCTTGGAGGCGCCGTTTGCCCGGGAGACGACGCTGTGTTTGTCGCGAGCTTGCGTCGTTTCGAGGGAGGTGGACTGATATCTCGATTCATCGTACTGTAGTGGCGGCATGCCGCCACTCTTTGTGATATATATGATAGATGAAGTTGTAAGATGCGCGCACGACCAAGTGACGTCATCATCACTTTCCGCACCAAAGCAATGCCCTAGACTGGTCGCAAACCCAGCCACCAAGATCCTCGTTACTTTGGTATATGTCGTATCGCTGTTTGCAGCATACAATCGCGCATGCACGTGGGCGGGGCGCGACGCGTCTTCCCACTAGAATTGATTGGGCAGTGATCAGCCACATCATTCACTACCCCACCACTACCAACACTTGACAACCACGCTACAGACCTCAGCCACAACCACCTAGAATCCTTCTTCCAACACCAGAATCGCATACCTACAACGTTCTTCTATCCAACTTCAACATGTCCTACCGCCGCAAGAAGTCCCTCCTCATCGGCATCAACTATGTCGGCAGCAGCCACGAACTCAAGGGCTGTCACTCAGACGTAGACAACATGGCAGAATTCCTCTCCTACCGCGGCTACACCAACTCACACAAAGACCGAGTCATCCTCACCGACCGACCAGAAGTACCCTACGACTCACCCTACTACCCCACCGGCCACAACCTACTCGCAGCCATGGACTGGCTCGTCTCAGAACCCGGATGTACCTTGTTCCTGCACTATTCCGGACATGGCGGTCAGATTGCAGATATAGACGGAAACAGAACCACGGGAATGGATGCGTCGATCGTTCCTGTGGATTTCGAACAGCGCGGCCAGATTTCCAGTACCATTTTACATGAACATCTTGTTACGTATATGGCGCGGGATTGCACGTTGTTTGTCATAATGGACTGTTGTCATTCTGGTAGTGCGCTCGAGCTACCGTTTGTTTACCGCTCTGATAGCGATGGCCAGATCAGTTTGATGGATAACTTGAAAGCCGGGCTTACGCTTGCTAATGAGGCGCGCGATATCATCTCTGGTGGTTTCTCGTATAGCAAAGTTGGGGAGGCGAGGGAGTTGCTTGCGGGTGCGAGTACGTTTTTCAAGGGACTGAAGCATTTTGGGGAGGAGCAGGAGGAGGAGGGGCTGGAAAGTGGAGAGTTTGCGGGCCAGTATGGGAGTGAGCAGAAGATGGTGACGATGTTTAGTGGGTGTAGAGATGATCAGACGAGTGCGGATGCGCGCATTGAAGGGGAAGCGACGGGAGCTATGACGTGGGCGTTCCTGGAGATGATGAAACAAGATCAGACTCCGACTTATGCTGAGGTGAGTGCTTGACACAGGTTTGGCGGATCTGAGCATTGTTATACTGACCGGAAGACAGACACTCAAGTTTATCCGGAAGACGTTGGACGAGAGCAACTACAAGCAGATCCCACAGCTGAGTTCAGGGTTGGATATTGATCTGGACGATATGCATCTGGTACTCTGATCATAGGGATTGTCACCATAGTTTCCGCGTACCTCGAAGATTATGAATAAAGGCCATTCCTAGCAATAAGACATACAGCATTCCACTCACTTGACCTGGGCGGTGATTGTGAATTTGTCTGACCTCTGTGGCAAACTCAGCAATCGACGCAGCTTGAAACACGCATGCACCAGCCCGTCTCCAAAAACACGAAGAAACAATTTGTCCACCTCTAAGACCACACCCACAACTCATGTCTCAAAGCAGCAAACCACCATCCCCTTCATCCTCATCATCCCTATAAACACACCCTCAACCCACAATCCTGCTTCCCACCGCCAAAAGCCCGCCAACACCACCCTTAACTACACTCCCCCATTACCCTTACCACACGCTCAAAATGACCCCGCCAATCGACCCCCTCCGCGCACGCATCTTCTCCGAGCTAAACCTCCAACTAACGCACCCCTCAATCCCCAAGCCCCTCCTAAACGAATGCTCAAAACACCTCGCTTTCCTCGTACGATACTACGCCAACGATCCTGAGTGTAATCCGCTGAGGGTTAGTGTGCCGATTGTTGAGGTGCCTGTAGTCGTACCTCGTATGTGTTCGGGAGAGGAGGATGGGGATGAAGAGGAAGATGAGGAAGAGGAGGAGGAAGTAGAGATAGAGATAGGCTTGAAGATCGCATTAGTAGTTTTCGAGGAGAAAAGAAGGAAAAGCTCTGTGCAGACAAGGATGGAAGGTCTGAGGAAGATGAAGATGGAGAGGTTGTACGGTGTGGGTAAGGTGTTGGGGGAGGAGGAAACCGAAGACGAATTGACACCAACGGTGAAGACGAAGAATGGTCTCGAGCCTGGTGGTCCCGTTAGTAAGATCGCCGGATCTCGACATTGTCCTCCTGCTTCGGCGTCTGGGACTGGGACTTCGTTTTCGTCTCCAGCTGCGAAGCCAAGGATGCGTGTACTGATCGAGACGACTGGTACGCTGGGACATTACAAGTGCTTGGTTGCTAAGCTTTGTGGCATGGCCGAGCGTGTCATAGCCGGACTGTTGGACGGTGACGAGGACATGGTGCGTGCGTGCGAAGAGGTCAAGAAGAATAAAGGCAAGAAGGCGAGTGCGGACGTAGGGAAGAGACCGGTGTGGAATGTTGAGGCTTGCGGGGAGTGGTGTTAAGCCGTCCAAGACATTTCGACAAGAGGCCGAGGACGTGAAATCGATCGTTGCTTTGGTATTCATATTTCATTCTAGCACGTAAGACATACAATGATAGAAAGAGAGACAACAGACCCATTGCATCAGAATCACATACTTCAGTAAAATCCAAAAAGGTATCCCTAGCTTGAGCTAACTCACGCAAGCTATTTCCCATCACACCAAAACACCGACCCCGCTACCCGTCGTCAAGAAGTGACCCAGAAAACAGTGCGATGAAAAGTACAAACGCCTCGCAAATGCAGCAAAGAACCGCCGTTTAGGTGCCTAGTCCTTAGCAACCTCTGTGCGGACCTCGCCCTTGACGTTTTCAGAATCGCGTTCTGCGTCGCCCTCTTCTTTGGCTGCGGCGATCTCTTCTTTGTTGTCATTCTCTTCCATTTCGACGTCTGCTGTGGGGGCCGAAGTGGGTGCCATGGTTGTCGTTGCTGCCGCGGCTGGTGGGGATTCGGGTGGGGTTACGACACCAGCGGGCGATTGTGATCGCGTTGAGCCAGCGGCAGGTGCAGTCGCAGCAGGCGCCGCGTCCATGTCGATGTCGCCATCTTCGTCGGCTTCTTGCTCGCCAGCGGCGGGGGTTGTTGTGCGCGAATTGGCGACTGCAGATGCTTGCCGTGTGGATACGGCGCTTTCACCATTCGTCTCCATGCGGTCCAAGTCATCCTCTGGAGCAGCATTGGGGTTCGGGAAGTCGGTGATGTGTCGCCTCTTCTTGGTGCCGGGCTGCTCGCGCACTCCGAGGCTGTTTTTATAATCCTCGTCATCGCTCGCGTCGTAGAGTTCGCCGTCGTGCTCTATTTGCTGGTCGCGTTGACGCTGTGTCATGCGCACATCCTTGTTCTCGTCGGCATCGAGATCATCGTCTTCATCTTCAGCGTCTGAGTCCGTAGCGCGAGTTAGACCCGCAGGCACATCCGGAATATTGGTGAAGGCTTCAACTGATGGCTTTCCGGTTCTCCGAATATTGTCGATGACGGCTGATTTGATCTTGTGCAGGTAGTCGTGAGAGTTCGCGTTCTCCATGTTAGAAGGACGGACGTCCAGTTCGTAGTCGGGAGCAAAGTATTCGTAGTAGTCGTTAAAAGGCAGCTGTTTGGACATCTTGGTCGAGACGAGCTCTCCCGTCTCGTAGGCCCAAGTTCGCGCCACGTTCCTCATAGTGTAACCACCTCCTCCCAGCACGATGACTGGTACGCCGAAGCTCTTGACGTACTTGACGCAATTGGCGTGGCCGTCCATGCTCAGGTTGAAGCAACCAAGCCTGTCTCCGGAAAGACTGTCGCCACCGCATTGTAGAACAATAGCCTCTGGGCCGTAGTATGTCATAACCGCCTGGATGACGGGCTCGAAGATGTTGCGATAGGTCTCGTCGGTGATGCCGTCGCGAAGAGGAAAGTTGACCGAGTAGTTCTTGCCGCTGCCGACACCGATGTCGCGCAATTCACCGGTACCGGGGAAGTACTCGCCGTACTTGTGGAAAGAGACGGTCATGACGCGATCGGTCGTGTAGAAGGCTTCCTCGACACCATCTCCGTGGTGGACGTCGATGTCGATGTACAGCACGCGCTGCTTGTATCGGAGTAGCTCGATGATTCCCAAGACAATGTCGTTGACATAACAGAAACCACTGGCTTCGCTCTTCTTCGCGTGATGCAGTCCTCCCGCCCAGTTTACTGCGACATCGCATTTTCCTCGGTTCAAGCGCGCAGCGCCCTCCATGGTGCCGCCAGCGCTGATACCGCAGAACTCAAATAGACCGTCGAAGACTGGACAATCGTCTCCGACGTTGTATTTGCTCTGCTCACGTGTGAAGCTCTCCATGTTATCGGGAGTGACCTTGTGGAGAAACTCGATGTATTCGTCGGTGTGGAACTGCGTCATCTCGTATTTGGACGCGGGCTTAGCGCGCTGCCGGTGAGTTAGCACAGATCCATAGAGGATTGAGGTCAGAGTCACCTACGTAAATCTCCATTTTGGTGTACAGTCCGTAGTTCATGATCAAGCTGTGCGCCATGCGTATGCGGTGGGGCTTCATGGGATGTCCTGCTACATAGGCATAGTTGCCGACGTCGGAGTCGTAGAAGTACGCGACCTTCTTTGGCTGCGAGGCGACGCCATTGCTCAAAGACGAGGAGCCCGTCGTGGGTTCCATAGCGGTGGTCATATCTTTGGTGGCTGCGCACAGCTATGCGACTGGGAGGATGTGTGATGATATTATCGTGATAAATTTGATAAAGTTGGATTGGATGTTGCGGGCGACGGTGAATACAGCATGCAAGGTGTTCGAGTATCAGCAGTCAAGGAAAGGTGGAGGGGCGTGGCAGAGAGATGGCAGCTTGAACAAAGACCCTCGCGCGCCATTACCATGAGAGCTGCGATAGGGCCCCCCTGTCTAGTGCCGGTTCCGGAACAACCGAATCGCCGCATGCAGTCGCGCAGTTACGTGAGAGAGCTCCGAGCATCAACAGCTTCATCATCGCCGCCGCCTTACTCAGCACCACCTCGCCCACCCCCCGAGTACCCTCACCTCGTCGCCATATACCCCGCCTGAAGTAATCAAAGAACCATCGCCAGTACTCCACCATGGACCGGTTAACTAGGATGCTCGCCGCCGCTCAAGGTGGCATGGGCGGTATGGGAGGGCCCCAGGGCGACACCAACCTGATCGATAACTCCGAAACCGTCTACATTTCCTCCCTGGCCCTCCTCAAGATGCTGCGGCACGGTCGCGCAGGTGTACCCATGGAAGTCATGGGCCTGATGTTGGGCGAGTTTGTGGATGACTACACAGTACGAGTGGTGGACGTCTTTGCCATGCCGCAGTCAGGAACGGGTGTGTCCGTCGAGGCCGTAGACCCCGTCTTCCAAACCAAGATGATGGACATGTTGAGGCAAACAGGAAGGTACGCAATGGCTGAGTCGGTGCTCGAAGCCGCCACCGCTCCCAACACACCCACCAGTCGCTGACAAACACAGGCAAGAGACCGTCGTCGGCTGGTACCACTCACATCCTGGTTTCGGCTGCTGGCTGTCCTCGGTCGATATCAACACACAGCAGTCGTTCGAGCAGCTCACACCCCGCGCCGTCGCCGTTGTTGTCGACCCCATCCAATCCGTCAAGGGCAAAGTCGTCATCGATGCCTTCCGCCTCATCAACCCGCAAGCCCTCATGATGGGCCACGAGCCCCGCCAGACAACCTCCAACGTCGGTCACCTCAACAAGCCATCGATCCAGGCGCTTATCCACGGCCTCAACCGCCACTACTACTCCATCGGCATCAACTACCGCAAGACTGCACTGGAGGAGAACATGCTGATGAACCTGCACAAGCACGTATGGACAGAGGCGCTGCTCATGGACGACTTCAAGGGCGAGGGCGAGCGGAATACCGACAGGCTGCAGAAGCTTGTGACATTGGCAGACGGCTACGAGAAGCGAGTGAAGGAGGAGACGGAGTTGACCAAGGACCAACTAAAGACGCGATACGTCGGAAAGGTCGACCCCAAGAAGCGTACGTTGAAATCCATGTCTTGCTTGAATGGTATACTAACAGAACATCATAGACATCTCAGACGTCGGCCAGCAGCTTATCGAAGACAACATCGTCTCCGTCTCACGGCAGATGATCGACAAGGAAGCCTCGGTACCAAAGTCGAACTCGCGGCAAAACGGCCAGTCAAGCGGCGGCGACGATATGGAGATGGAGGAGTAGGATCGGCATACCCGTGGTCTGGCTTGGAGGAAGCATGTACACTGGCATGAGCTGCAGAATATCGCACTCAAAAGAGGCATATACGATACAGTAATGCATAGACTATGTATGAGAACAACGACATTACACAAACATGATCCCACTCATGATGACGGTTGCCTTGCGGATTGAGAACAGCTACACGAATGGGTATACCTCTTCTAGGGCTGAGTTTAGTAATCTTAGACAATAATAGAGGCGAACTGATCGCTCACTCATTCGTTGCGGGTAGTCCAGCACATCAGTCCTCCGACACAGCACTGAGACGTAGAACTCGTCATGAGGTTTGCAGTGGCATGGAAATACGTTTTCCCACAAGTTACATCCTATACACTTAGACAGGGGAATATGTTTGACGTTGTTCTCTTCTCCACATCGTTTAAACACACACAAGTTGTACGTCATGTTCTCGCTGAAGCGAAGCAGTGGATTATTTCTTTGCGTCAGATGTCGTTCATGTATGATTTCAGCTTTCGATCCCGATTGAAAGCCGCGGACTAGATAGAATCCCAGGTGCTGGGTTCCATCCTCGGCGTTTTGGGGAAAGATTCGAAAGATTCTTGTGTGAGTGGGTGAGGTGAGCAGCGCAAATGAGGGGAAGCGTTCTGATGGTTATGTAGATTGACGTGTCTTTCATATTCGCAGTCGTGATACTCTTTCTAGACCTCGGTCCATCATCCATCACAACACCCAGTTTAGTACTATTTGAATTCAAACGTATGTCATTTTAATGCCTCTATATTTTTTTCGTAGCCAAAAAGCAAAAGCAAAACACCAGCCCACGCTGATCCATATCCCATTAACCCGTAAAATTCATTTCTCGTACGCCCCTTCTTCGAAGAACCGCGACACGACAATGCGTCGGTATTCGTCGCAACAAAACCCTTGGGGGTTACTTTCGTCTTTCTGCTCATCCATCCATCCACCGTAGCGATCTTTGGTATATAAAACAACAAAATTTGCCGCCCACTCGAGCCCGCCATCCATCAGCCATAGGTTTCGTCGCCCGTAACACGTATTTTGTGAGAAATGGTAGTGTCGATCCCAGTATTACATTTTGTTTGTTTCAAGCAACTCCGGTAAGGAAAGGTGAAGGGTGGATTGGTTCCATGGAATAACACAGCGAAATGGGTTTGGGGGTTACAAGAAGTTCGGGTCCATTACTTTGAAAGTCTTGAGAGGAGGTAAGGTAAGGTGGCTAGTCCAGAT